CCCTAGCTAACTATTCTGCTTTACATCTCGATTGTGAGGTAAGTAGAAAAAAACCGGCATTACAAAAATAAAACATTAAAGTAAAAGTTTTCTATTCCTGCCTTTTTTCATTAATAAGAATCAAGTAAAGAACTTTTTAAGTTTTCGAAGAACTTTTTATCGAAATTGGGCTTCGCCGTTCGATATTTAAAATTGATGACTATTATACTCACACGAAGGCAAGGCTGAATAGCAAAGCGACCTCTTTGGTCATTGGGCTGAATGCATGATGTCTATTGCCAGTATGATGGTTAGATGTACGCGAACTTTTTGAAAGAAAGAAGTGGTTTTTTTTTATTACTTATCGCCCTAAAGCTTGACAGGAAGCTTGAGAAGGAAAACTTGACACAAACCCTATACCAACCCGTCTGGCCAGCGTGGTATAGTAGGCCAAAACCTCCTTTCTAAGGAGAGGCCTATGTCCAGCAGTGGACTAGTATAGGCTGTTGATGTGATGTGATGTGCCCTAAAGCTTTTCTAGCTACATTATTACCCTAGAGCACTATTTAGTCACTTACAAGCCCCATTTGGAGGTAATAAGAACCTACTTACCGAACATGAGAGATGTAAAATAAATTTTCTATTTATCGATCTGTCAAACAGTATTTAAAAATGAACAGAATATATTTGACAAAAAATAGGCCTGACCGTGTGTAAATGAAGAAAAGAAATTGAATTCATACCAAACATTTTATAAGTTCTTATGTATTACCTATATATTTCTTCTTATAAGTAATTAAAGTCATTACCATTAATTGGGTGTTAAACAACTGCACCTACTTTTGTTAAATAAAATCCTTATATTAAGTTACGTTACGTTACGTTTTACGTAATTAATTTACGGTTTAGACTTTTACATAGGTATACTAATAACATTATTGCAGATAATGCTTAGAAGAAAGTTTTCTAAATTTATAAAATATATTTTTTACATGATGCTATTGGTCGTATCGAAATAAAACTTTGAATGTAAATTTAGTTTGGATAATTACACGGATAGTAGTTGGATAGTACAACTCTTCATCAACCAGTCAGACTGATGGTGATCCAAGAGCTGATATGACTCCAAGAGGTTAGGTCTAGTGATGATGCCGGGAGATGTATGGTGAAGCCCTTTTTGATTTCTTAATTCAGTTCATCATAAGAACGTGATTTTTAGATTACATTCAACTTGATTCAACTATTATGTACTTTAGTCATCAGGTGTATTACCTTACTAGACGTTAACAAAACTGTACAAAGTAGAAACAAAACAGCCTCCTTACGATAGAAATACAAACCCGACTATTATTGGCAAGATAACTTTTACTCGAACGTGTTCAAACGGGCGTAAATGGCATAATACATGTCCGGTCCGGTCTCCAACTGGTCTGTGTTTTTATTGCTGAGCGCGCATCAACTAACTAACTATAAGTATAGAGCGTACACGTGGTGGAGCTCGTTTTCTTTGATGGGTGGGGGATAGACAGGGTGCTGTGTTATATATAAATTCATTTTTTGTGCGGTGAGCACTTACCATGCGTTCAAGATGTAGTGTTTAACTTTGATGTTCTCTTCCTTCCTCTTAGACATAAGCTTTTCAAATCGTTATGAGACTGTGGTGACTCTCGCATATAGTGAAATAAAAACATACTTCAGTGGCATCTAACGAAGACACGTCGAACTACAGAGTAACTGCCAATCCTGTATCGCGATATGAAAAGTTCTTACACCATTAGCATATATGTATATACAATTTCCCAACATCATCCGTTAGGCCGCGGCTCGCCAGGTGCGATCACCTCGCCTGGCCGGAGGAGATTGGTCTTTGTGTTGGACCAGCCGTGTGAGAAAGGGTATATTAACCTTTGTATTTAAAAGATCATCAATATCACTTCACTATTAAGATACGAGTATAGACTAGTAACATAATATGTGAAAAGAAAATGGTCATGATAATAACGATTTAGTCGTCCCATTACTTTAAATAATCTAAACTGGTTCTGCTCTTCAGACAGGGTTGCCCAATACCTTCTTCTCTGTAAATTAGCCAATTGCACAAAGGCTAGCATGTCTTCGTCTTCTTCCTCAGACGAATACATGCCTTCAAATTTAAATTAACCAACGACACTTTTACACCGTGGCCGAAGTGTTACAGATGTACCTTTTGCGCATCGTGCCCTATCAGTCTGGCACGTGCTTTATACAGTCTATCCTTTTATAGAAAAAATATAGCTTGGACGTAGTTGAAGAAGTCAGTGAATATCAATAAATATATCCACGGAACCTTACGTATCTACCTTTCTATTTTTTCTGTGCAGAAATCCCCTGGGATACCACCCACCAGTGGTTATGTCGGACGTGAACCGACTAAAAACCGCACTCTGTTTCGGGTACTTGAAGGCGGGGAACCAGGTGTAGGAAGGAACCACTATAGGAAGGAAATCCCTGGCACCCGATGTACCCCGGGCCATCTACGGCCATAGATGACCCCCTCGTATGTGGGAACCACGATGTTCCCGTACTACCACTAGGTTGCTAAGACCGTCGGAGACCAGGTTGCTAAGAACTTAACTTTGAAAATCCCTAGACATTCTAAGTCTTTTATGGACATGTCATTTACTGTGCAAGCCGTACGTTTGTGGAATGCATTACCACTGCCCATCAGACGAGCACAAACACTCGCTTGCTTTAAAAAATAATTGAAACAGCAGTTCCTAAATTGTTGAGTGATGAGAGGACCTTGATGTCCTTAAATCCTGTTTGTGCCCACTTCTTATTTCTCCTTTTAAATGTATCCTATCTTGTGTAGTGCATATGTATGTCTAATTGTCTAGTAGTGTATTTGTGTATTCAGTGTACTATGAATAAGATGAATTTGTTAGTCTTATATTTTGTATCGTACAATCGCATCGTACTGTAAAATTGCAAGTGCCTGTGCCATCCTTAATGTCCTTCTCGATCCAGCGGTTGTCTGGAAGAAATCCCAAATCGCGATAAGGCCGCCAATTGTAATTTTTTTGTCACATAACTAATTTACTTTCTTTATGTATCTGTCCCTAAATTAATAATAATAATATGTATGTATCTGTCCCTAAATTAAAAATAATAGTATACAAACTAATCTATAATAATGTTCTTTTTTCTTGTACAATAATGATCTATCTATCTATCAATCGATCTATCACCTAAAGGAAACGCGCGCTCCACAGCGCTCTGCTTCTACTAGGGTGACAGATGGCCTTGCCTGTCACCTACAGGCCTGCGTTTATGGAGGACGGAGATCGTTCTGTGACCTCAGGCGTTTGAGTGGGAATCTAGAGAGTTCTAAATCTCTCCCGGTCTCGCGCCGCCATCTCCTTCGCAAGCAAAACTTGCTCGCAGAATGAGACGGCGGAGTTCACGCTACCAAGCGAGAGAATTCCCACCCCGATGGCCACCACGAAATCACGCCCCTGCTCAACCCACGAAGGCATTCTGCCAGCATGTGGAGCGTCATGTCCACGGTCCAGCCATCGCAGTGGTGACACTTCGGTTACTTGTGGATTAGACACCGGAGATCCCCGAAGCATCCTTTCCCGGTGATCACCTGCGTCAGCCGGTATTAGAGGGTCCCGTGATGCCTCTCGAGGCAATACTCCATAACGGGTCTTACCACCGCAATAACGGCGTGCCCGACCTAACCTACCTACAGAGTACATTACTAATTGTGATAAAGACGCCTTGTAAAATAATTGCAGCAACCTGTTGCAAATAAACTCAACTGAACAATTATCTATCTAGGCTTCAAAATTTGAAATCCTGACACCTGAAACAGAAACATTTGTGATAACTATGGTTTTTCAGATCAACTGATTGTTGTGCATAACATTGACGTAATATGTATGTTATTAGCTTATCTCGTTCACGTCATATTATTAAAAACGTAATATTTTAACGACGGGCCTGTTGGTCTAGTGGTTAGTGACCCTGACTACTAAATCGGAGGTCGTGGGTTCGATTCTCACCCTGGACAAATATTGTGTGATGAGCACGGTCATTTGTTCTGTGTCTGGGTGTAATTTACATATAATATGTATCTATTTAAAAATATATAAGTATGTTTATCAGCAGTCTGGTTACCATAGCACGGGCTCTGCCTAGTTTGGGATCAGACTTCCGTGTGTAAGATGTGTCAGAAATATTATTATTATTATCGATTCTTTGCATATTTTAAAATAGAAAGCCGTCGTTTTTTAAAAGAGCGGTGTCAAAAACTTTTTTAATTGTAAAGTCTAATTTTATTAGTGTGGTATAGACTCAACTAAAATATTTTTTTTATTGAGTACGCCTTGTTTGGTGTTTATTGAGCGAAAAACAAACACCAATAGGACACAAAATAAAAATCATGATAAAAACACTAAAACAACGGATTAAAGTAACCATGATGGTTATTACAGACACATAGATATAGTTCTATATCTAATGCTAGTCCTAACAAAGAACGATCTGCCTGAAGGACTTGAACTAAAAGTATGCAAACTGGAAAACTGGTGGGTAATGAAGATTCTACTTACTAAGACTAAGGTTGACCAATCTGTGGAACGGGTTATCGTCTTTGGTATTTCCGGACCGATACGACCTTCAAACCTTAAAGAAAAGAGCGTACTCCTTCCTAAAAGGCCGGCAACGCGTCTGTGACTCCTGAGTTGCAGACGTTCATGGGCGGAGATGGTTACTTTCCATCAGGTGACCCGTCTGCTCGTCTGCCCCCTCTAACACAAAAAAAAATAAAAATAAGTACGGTTAGGTTCGTTATGATTGATATACATCAAAAACGCATTTTTCCTATCATAGTAACAGCTACATCTCTATGGCAAAAATCAAAACTGGAGCTTTTATAGAACTACTGGGGTGGTCGACTAGTGTTTTTCTTATCTTTTGCTAATCCTATTTTATGTATTTGTATTGGATTGTAAAATAGTTGATGTTTCTTATTGCAGATTCATATGAATATCGAAAAAAAGACTCAGCGTCCAAGGATAAATATAGTAGCAGTAACGCCAGAAACTTTGGTAAGCATAATGGTTTATATAATAATCATAATAATACGTATGTATGTGTATATGTGTGTAATTTGTATAAGTATATACTACTGTGTACATGTGTTAACTCAAAGGTTAAAATAGTTGATATTTAATAAAACCTCTATAATTTATTACAAGTAAATGCACTTATTCCTCGTTCTTTCTCAGCATCACCCAATTGATCGACTGGTAGAGAATCCCTTAAGTATTAAGTCCGTCGATGCATATATTTGTGCAAAAAGTTATAAAATAAATAAATAATATTAAATTTAAATCGTTTCTGTCTTTATAAATCTAGCATTTGCCTTACCTTTCCCGAATTGATTTCTTTATCGATTATAATACAATAAGACAAGGTCCATACCAAGTATAGGAGCAGTTTATAAAATAAAATATATATATAATTATATTTATAAATAGATAGATATTTATATATATTTATAAATAGATAGATAGAGAATATTAAATTCCAATAAAGCATAGGATTTTTATCTTTTCGATTACAGAAGATGCATTGTAATATGTTTACATCACGCCAATCTCAGTTAGTTGAGTATTTCCATTAGCGTTGCATTATTTATATAGGTTCAACTTTTACTTTCTCTCGTATTTAAATCATAACCATTATTCATTTTAGTCTATAAGTCACCTGCCAAATTTCTTCGCATTTTGCACCTGCTCTATTAATAATGAAGATATGTAAAACAGAAACAGCATAGCTCTTCAAATCACAAGTAAGTTCATATTAGGAGGACCAGGATAATCAGAACTCAACGTTCCGGCAAATATCATTAATATATCATTATCATCATATCGGCAATATATCATTGTGGGAGAGCCATGCATCGGCACGAATGGGCCGGCTCGACCGGAGTGATACCACGGCCTCACAGAATACCGGTGTTAAGCAATTCTTTCGTTGCCTTTCACTAAGTGAGTGAGGTTACTGGAGCCCAAATACCAGTCCCTACCGCTGACTCGAGCGGTAGGGACTCCATGGGCAACAACGCACTTGTGACTTTTGAGTTGCAGGTGTCCATGGGCGGCGGTAGTTGCTTACCATCAGTTGACCCGTCTGCTCGTTTGCTGCCTTATGCCATAAAAAAAAAACTAGGCAATGAAGATAACAACATTGAACATATACATTAATATTTTAAGGATCTTTATGACAAATTTGAAAATTCCAGATCAAGCCAGTCTACTGTCAGGGTGCCTTTACGAGGGCCGGTGGCACTCTAGCGGTGCTGTAGTAGAGACGCGTGAGAAGTGCTTGCATTGCGTGTGTGTGCGTAGCGCGCTGTCGTGTCGGCGGCAAGCATGCGCACCGCTCATAGACCCGACGCCGAAACGCTGCCATATCAGACACCGACGGGAAGCGTGCTGTCCAGAACTCGTTTGTCCAGGTAAAAAAAAATGTTCAAAATTGTAGACTGTTCTACTTCTACACCGGCAAATGATTCAATGCTAAACTTGGGTTTAGGTTCGTAACAAAAGAAACCTCTTTTAGATGTCCGCCAAGATGAGTCGGGCGAAGCGCAATGGCACTACCTACCTTTTCTGGAAGCGCTTCGTCGTTTTTTTGAACCCTCATATCTTAGGTTGGGATTAAACCTGACAAATGAAATTCTCGGGAAATGAGCTTTAATTACATAGCTCTCATAGCTTAAGATTGTTTTGATATCTAAAAAAAACCCCGATGTCGTCACAGACTCATTGATGATCCGGATGCCTTGACAAACCCTGTACCAACCCGTCTGGCCAGCGTGGTATAGTAGGCCAAAACCTTCTGTCTAAGGAGAGGCCTATGTCCAGCAGTGGACTATTAACGGCTGGTGATGATGATGATGATAGTAAATTCGTAATCTTTTCTTCTAAAAATGCAAGTCATTTCAGATGGCAACTATGTATATTTCGTATCCAGATTTTCATTTATTGTATAAAAATTATGCTTCCTTATTTGATTCAAATTTATTATTATGCTTTATTAGTATATTTTTATTATTTATTTATTTACCATTTTACAAAACCAGTTACAATTATTAATTATAGTGAAATGTATTCCTTTATTTTCAGATGGAGTTGTTAACATGGAAAAAAGTACAAAGACACGCTTTGAGCGTGACGATTTCGAAGACGCGATTCCTGTTACTGTTGGGCTGGGTATGTGACTCTGAGGCAATTTCCTGAATTGTGACCTAGAAATAACTTTTGCAGAACTTACTGTTCTCTAGCAACAACTGATATGCATGTGTTATTTCTCAAGCTTAGCAATTTTTCCAGCATGCGTGGAGGGAGGCACTATCTACGCAGCAGGATCAGCCATGTCATCAAATGTAGCTTGCGAGCAGTGTTTCTGTCTTAAGGGGTCCAAGAAGTGCGTCAGGCCAAATTGTTTGCCGCCACCGCCTCACTGTGTGCCCAGGCCAACACCTGGAGCCTGTTGTCCTCAAAGATACTACTGTGAATACGACAGTGATGTGGTTGAGGGGCACACGTATGGTAAGTAAACTGCCATACCTTTTAATAAACTATAAAAATACGAGCACCACCCTAACTGCCTGTTATTTAGAGGGTAAGCTCAAATTGGCCTCGAAGAAGCTCGTTGTGCTAAAAGAAGAGCGACTCGAATCGTCGATAGCCAAAAGATCTCCGACCATCTCGATCCCTTAACGTTGCATAGAGATGTAGCTTCACTCTGCAGTCTCTATCGTAGATATCATGGAGAGTGGCAAGTCATTTCAACACTAAAATTTCCTGTGATGGATATTTTCAGATTGCGAAGTAGAAGGTAAACGAATCCAGGAAGGAGAGCGCGTTTTCTCTGGATTGGACTGCACGGCGTGCTTCTGCCTCAAAGGCACAGTCCAGTGTCAGGAGATGGGGTGTGCTCCGCCTCTTCATGGATGTCAACCGATATTGACGCCCGGCGACTGTTGCGCACACCAATACAAGTGTGACCATAATCCCCTGTACAGAGGTAGTGATATCCAACTTTTATTTCAAAATGAAATTAGAATTGTAAGTTTTGTTTGGAATCTATCATGGTACAAGTATAAGAAATAGTAGTTTTTAAACCAAAATAAACTTACTTAACTTTCAGTTAAAAATGATTAACAACACTTGAATTCTTTGGTTATCTCTATGAAAAAAAAGTAAAAATCAATAAATATTTGAGTGATTTAGCCAGTAATTATAATGACCAAATACTAAAAATACGTGTTACGTTTTACAGGACAAATGTATCATCACCGACCAATTAGTTACAACTATATAACGGCGTCTAGAAATGACGATCGTTCATTACACATTCAAAAATGGTCCAAATCAAGTGAAACTAATACTGAAAAAATATTCCCAAATTTATATAAGTCGAAAAACATGCCAATTGGCTCAGTAACTACAAACGACTTAGAATATACCGTCAAAGTGAAAAGAAAAACAGATGAAGCTGATAATGAGTACTTGAACAATGATACTGACGATTTACAGTCTACCACCTCTCAAAAAAGTGTAACTGTAGCTGCCGAGGCCGGTGCCACAGAAATTGCGACCGAGGAAAACACGGAACATCCCGAAGGGATAGTTAAGATCGTTATTAATGGGACAATCAATTGTACTGCAGAACTGTCATCTACGTCTCTACCCTTAAGTATTGGTCTTAACGATACAGATAGAAACCAAGCAAAAATATTACCGCGAATACCAATAGTGAACGGAATAGAAGCTCAAGCATATGCACCAAACGATATCATCACGGATCGTTCAGTTCTTGATGAGTTTGATGAAAATGATACGTTTACCATAAACGTTACTAGTTCTCTAAATGGAAATAGGAAATCTACTGTCAGACCTGAAAGAATCAATGCTGCTAAAAAACCTATTCCTGTTGCCCTGACCGATACACTAAATAATTCTAAAAAGGCAGAAGATTACGATTACGATTACAATGAACCAACACTACCACCATCATTGCCTAACCTGAAGTAAGTAACAACCAACAAACATTAAGTCATATGGAAAAAATATGAAAACGAATTTGAGAAAGTAAACTTAGTGAGCTCATTTGATTTTTTTTACATTTATGAACAAAAACAATTTGTTTAATACCTTTTTTTTTCAATTTGTAATACAATAGAATAATAAACTCTACTGTACACGAATTACAATTAAATTATTGACGGAAGTCGTGGGTTCAATTCCCACCCAGGACAAATATTATGCAATGAGCACGGTAATTTGTTCTGTGTCTGGGTGTAATTTATCTATAATATGTACGAGTATGTATTTAAAAATATATAAGTATGTTTATCAGCAGTTTGGTTACCATAGCACAGGCTCTGCCTAGTTTAGAATCAGACGGTCGTGTGTGAGATGTGTGAGGTATGTATTATTATTATATGAATAATAAATTATACAATGCATATATATTTAAATAAGTATTGTTTGTTCTACAAATAAGTGTTTTGTTTCAGAATTATTCCCTTTGTAGCGGCTGATGCAGTCGTCGATGATGAGTTATCTAAAGACGTTCACGAATACCCAAGTCTCGACCGTGAAGACAAATACCCTGTTTACTATCCAGCTAAACCCAAGGTGTCTTCTCTGAAAAGAGATGAGACTTATGATCCTACCCAGTATCCTGTTTTTGTATCAGATAAAGATTATGATTTAGATCTACCCGGCGATAGTTATAACTCAAAAAATAAGAATGAAGAAACTGAAGTTACTAAAGCACCAAGTTCTAAACTGGAAACTCCAGCTTTTAATTTATTCTCACCGCCGATTGAAACTGAAGGTTTGTTATACAAAAATTTTACCTTAAGAATTAATGTTCATTTGTCGTGTTATGCAACTGACAAAAAAAACAATGAGTCACATTATTATTGAATAGTTATGTGTGAGAATTGTTTCACAATTTTTTAAGAGCTGTGCTGAATTGTTTAGAATAATTAAATGGCCATCAGGTAAAAAAAAAAATGTTTCCTCTTTTTGGTCTTTGTCCAAAATTTCTTGCGACGTTCCAGTACGGGATGTTTGCAGAAGCTCACGTTGATTGTTTCTATACCGTCATGCGAAAAGGGTGGGCATCCCTGGTGCGCAGAGTGCAGGTTAGCTCCAACAACATACTTAACATGACTGCGAGTAGACTAGATTGTCTTTATATGACTCATTAAATCGGGGTTTCAGCCACGCCTGTTACTGCGAGTCAATGAGTCTAACCTTAATTTATAAAACGTACTAATATAGCTGTAAATTCAACTTGTTGAGTCTTAGTTGCTCCAATAAATAATTTATTATTATTATTAATCATCATGATGATGATTAATTTTTGACTGAACTAATACTGTTTCAGTTTTATAGGTTAATTATTACTTGTACAGCACAAATAGGATTATGTTAAAAATAATTCTCAAAAAATATTTTTTGATTATAGGTGGTTTCATACCAAAAGGTCCTGGTATCAATGACGAGTACTTTACTGTTTACACACCAAGTACACCATCGGCAGTAGCAGTGCCTCATCTCACTACTTCAATGCAGTTAGACATTCCTAAAGGTAATAAAGAAAACATTACACAATAGGACTGAATTCCATCATATTATTATAAATTGTATTTTTAATTAATACTTGCAATACTAGAAAGCTTTCCAAAGCATCCTCATCAAAATAGTGGTAGGGTTGGTATTGCTTTGAATATTAAATTTGAATCGTGGCATTTATGTGAAATAGTGTCACCCCAAAAGAGATTTAAACTAATAAAGTACATTGGAGTGCATTGGATCTCTTAGTGACTGACCATAATTTACTGAATTTTCTTTAAATATTAGTGTAGCCTCCTTTAATGATGGATGGATCGATGCATCTTATGCACAGAAATGTTATAAAGCGGTAAATGTAGTTTAGAATGTATAGTCAAATAAATGCACTTCTAACATTGAAAAGTTTTATTGATCATATCATAAAATAAAATTCATATAAAATTACAGGCGACTGTGTAACCGAAGACGGAAAACATATACCTGAAGGTGGAAATATAACCATGGACTGTAACGAGTGTGTTTGTGAGTGGGGACGACTGAGATGCGCACCAACTCTTTGTCGAGCCCCACGAGGATGCCATTTCAAAGAACCTGACCCTGACTCTGTGAACCAGTGTTGTGGGGACCTCATTTGCAAGAAAGGTAAAGCTATGTACAGCTGTCCTTGGAAATGTGACCTGATTCAAATTATTAACAAATTAACATTCTGAAATACTTAACAAGAATTAAGGTTGAAATAGATTTAGAAGAACGAGTCATAACTGTCATAGATAATTCTCTTGACCAAATATTAGGTGTAGTTTGAAAAATGATTCATCATGAGATAAATACCGAAATGATCCTTTATTAAGTTGCTGAATCGCTTAAATATAATTCCAGTCTGCTGATTAATATATTCAAACGACACCAGATATATATTATTAAATTTGAAATAGGATATTTCCGCATGTTGCATGCTGCCAATTATGAATTATGTTTACTTTATAAGTAGTTTGCGAATAGAGCATTCAACAGGTGAAACCATAAATATTTAGCCATATGTCTGTACCATTGTACCTCAAATTTTTCATATTAATACACAATATACAGAAAAATTTATGAGGTTCTGATGTGTAATATTTGTTTGTTTAAGGCTTATGCAAGTAGTATTTAGTGATAATGTAAAAATGTTAATAAATGTAATATTTTCATACTAAAATACATGTTTTCTTTTATTTATCTATGGACAAGCCTTATTGTTGAAGATTTTGAGGAGCCCAATATTGGTTTAGAATTTTGTGAAGTAAATGTATGAAGAATAATATGTTGAGTGCCGCTTTACGCTTTAACGTCTAAAAAATTCTTTTAAAAATTACTTTGTGACAAAACAATAACTGATATGTCTATAATATAAATATTTAATCCTTTTTTTCACAGAAAACAAAACTACTACTGCACTGCCAGCTCCGGGAAGTACTAAAGTTGAAAATACAAACGTAGAAATTGCTGTAAAGGGTGAAAAAAGTGACATTTTAAATCAACCTTCACAATTGAATAATACAACATCACAAAACAATTCGTTATCTACGCCTATTAATACCGCTAAAAAGCAAACTTTTGATAAGACAACTGAAAAACCTAACAAAACTTCCCCAACAAGAACTACATCTCTCATTGGTAACCATACCACCATAACACTAAGTACCAATGGATCTGCACTAAATACAACAGTGAGTCCAGAGACAACTCATGTTACAAAAATGTCGACGATAATTCCTCCTACAAATACTCAAGAAACAAATGATACTTCATCAGAATATGAAGATGATGAAGATATGGGATTTTCTTTTGGCAGCGTCCTTAAACTTCTACTGAGTGAAAACTATGAATCAACCACCTCTGCTCCATATAAAAAACCTACATCTACAAAAGCCCCAGTAAAATCTTCTCCACCACCTATCACTTCAACTAAGAAACCACCTTCCACTGTAAACCCATTCATCCCTCTTCCATCATTACCATTTAATCCTCCAAAAATAGTACCATCCACCATTAGCAGGATAGACCATTTAGTCCTCGGAGAAGCAACAGCTATCAAAAGGACCACTCTTCGACCCATCACGAATAAAACTACGAAAAAACCTACAGAGAGAACAACAGAAAAACCTAAGATAGACATATTTACACCAGGACTGAAGCCCCCTAGCCTTAGTGGATCCACGGGACCTACTTCACAAGGTGTTGGGGCTGGCTTGTTAAAGCTAGCTGGTTGTAATATCTATGGTAGGATATACAGGGTCGGAAGAATTATTGCAGAGCTATCTACGCCTTGTTTAGAATGTTGGTGTGTTGAGATAGGAGTGGAGTGTAAGAAACTTGAATGTTGAAACAAGTGAACAGATGAAATTGCAATTATTGTATAGCAGTGTAATTATGTGTTTGAGTTAAAGGAGAATATTCTCTCACTACCGGACATTTCGGGGAAAGAATCGTGAACGGATAATCATTAGTAATGCAAATATTTTATTTAAGTTGATCGTTATATAAGATGCCTGTTATTCTCTATGACAGCTATAAAGTACCTTTTTAAATGAATCATGTCTTGTAGTAACTTGAAATATTCTCTGATAGGATTTAGTTAAAGTATTTATTTATACAAAATGACCAGGATTGATCTCATACGTCGTAGAGTAAAACCAGTGGTTCCATTTCCAACGCGGCTCAAGACTTGACCGTGGTTACAGACTCATAGTGCATTTATTGAATCTTATATATATTAAGTACTAGCCTCAAAGTATGATATGACTTTAGATGTATAACATAGTTTTAATAATTAGTATAATACTTATTAATAAATAAAATCTTAAAAAATGATTTTTGTTACTGTAGTGAGTCACGCCAACGTAACTACATAATTATATTGACTTGTTTAAACCTTTATTAGCTGTGTGTGCGTTCGCAGTTGTATTTGGGCACATCGGTTATCGTTCCATGTAATCGTTTTGCAAACCTCGAACGTATGACAATAAGTATGACAGTATGACATAAAAGCCATGCCGATTCAATTATTATTACCTACTTATATGTTGCAATTGTTGTTGTTGTTCCTCATGTTAGCTACCACCAGCCTAATCATGTGGGTTGTGTAGCATTTGGGGGGGGGGGGGGGGGGGGGGAACACCCAAATACTCGGAAGTTTTATTCCGAATTTCGATGTTCCGATTTTCAAAAATCCGAATTTCTTAATATGATAAGAATGAAATGCTCGATGGGTTCTGGGACCGAAAAACGACATTCCGATTTTCACTGCTGCACGACTGCTAAAATTAGGTGTCTGATCTGGTAGTATAATATTCATAACGTTTCATTTAATTTAAGAATGACTACTTTGTTCTTAATATTTGTGTATTCATTTTTTTTTTGCTGGTTGTAATATCTATGGTAGAATTTATTTATATTTATGATGTTTCGTATTATTATTGAGTCGGACTTTTATGTTATTTGATCTATTGAATCTCGGTATTTTGAGCAAAAATAAGATGAAGGATCAATCGGAGTTGTTTATATATTAGGAATTTTGAACCATTCGGAATTATGGAAATCGATATTTTTAAATTCATATTTGTGACTGACGGAATAAAGTTTTTCATAGTTCTGTACCTCTTGCTGAAATAAAATCATAGGTTCAATGAAATAAGACGAACCTTAAATGCATTACTTTATGTACAATACACAGTCTGTAGGTACATCATTTTTACTTAGTCCACCGGCGGTTATGAGGGCAACAGACCCAGGTGCCGATAAGAAACAAGTAAACATGCAAGTGAACTCCAATCAGCTATAATCACTGAGTTGTATGATAGAGGTCAGCGGCTGTAATCCTAATTAATTATGTAACAAAGTTGTTATTTATCTTGGACCTACCAAAACCGATTTGAACTTTAGGCAACTACAGAATGCGAAACAGTTTTAACAACTACTGTTCTACTAGACCTCTGCTCAATACATACAGTGAGCAAATTCTGTATTTATATTGCGGACGGATTTTTTATTGTGTACACTTAACACGTTTTTTAGTACTTACAATATGCAGGGAATAAAGCTGCTGGGTACAATTTCAAAGCAGTAAAGTCCAAAAAATAAAGACTTCTGTGGTACAGCTCCTGAAAAATTTAAACTAACTACTACTAACTAAAAAAAAAAACTCACCTGATAGTAAAATAAAAATAATAAATAATGCCAAGAATATCAAACAATCCTCCTATATTGTGTAAAAGATGGAGATCAGGTTAGGGAGGTTTTGGCCTACTATACCACGGTGGCCATACGGGTTGGTGTAGGGTTTGCTTTAGGGTTTGCTTCTCTTTGCAGTGCTGTTGTCCTGCAGTTTGCTCCCTTAGTCGGCTCTTACGACACCCACAGGATGAATAGGGGTGATGGCATTCCGTATTCTTAATCCGTCACCAGACGAATCAATAGTAGGCCAAAACCTCCTTTCTAAGGAGAGGCCTATGTCTAGCAGTAGGCTATTATAGGCTGTTGATGATAGTTAGGGATTTTGAACAAATAAAAATGAATATCAGTTTTAGGTAATGTATTACAAATTGAATTTGACTAGAGTGCAATCTCTTTGGTTATAATCATTATTTAGTCTAGCACTACGCTTATAAAGTGAATTCTAGTACATCTCAAAATTCATTAAAATATTTCAGAAAGGATTGGATCTCTTGCAATTGTATGCGACTTAACGATGTCAATAATTACTTCTTGATCACTTGAACTACGTCTATAGATATTTACATTGCTTATATTATTGTAAGTATTTATCAAGTCTTTAATTACATTAGGTTCAGGTCAAATTAGTTAGTTTTAATATAAACTTTAGATAAACCTCAGTCTTGTTTACCACCTAAATGGAGTTCGAAACGAGATTTTAACCTGATCACTCTCGCTTACTGTAAACAATCTGAATTCAAAACTTGCTGATACTTAGTGAATAACAGTATTATCACAGCTGGACATGTACCTACTTTATGACAGACGCGTCACGTTTATTCGACTACAGAAAGTGACAAAAATAACACCAAAAGGTCTTCTTTGGTCAAGCGTTTAGCATAAGATATATTACAATAACTTTTATATTAGAGTGCTTACAATAAGTACAATGCTTACAAAATATCACTAGCCAAATAACAATGTTTTGATACAAAACAATTTTAGATTTCACAGAAATCAGTAAGGCCTGTCGGCATCTCCCCCTTAGATAACAAAACCAAATTTTATTCTTATTAAAATAATGAGTATTTTTCTGCACAACTAATTGGATTATGAATTGCCTTTAGATACCATTCAATAACACTTTTTAAATATACATAGACCCTAAGAATTCACAAAATAATTTTATCTCATTGAAATAATAAAACGTAACCGTTATCTTCAGTCGGTTAAGAAATTCAGTGCATATGAAATTCATAAAATTCTGTTCGTTGTCATTATTTTGGGCGGAGTTACAATTTTATCCGTACATTTAACATTTAATCTTAAGTCTGAATCAACATTTTGTACATAACACTTAAGAATACACCATAAACAATAAATAAACTATCAATTTACAATCTTTGTACTAAAATACAAAAGTGTAAAATCCATCAAAAGCTATCCTATAATGTAATAGCGGACGGATGAACGAATTGCACTTTTCAAGGCGCAACAAAAGAAGATTTGTTGGCACCAAGTGTGGTTGGTGGTTCAAGTCTGGTTACTTCTCATGTACCAGGGGATATGTTCTTCTTCTTCAGAGTATTGGGTGTAGTGGAGAGTGGTTAGCACGATGGCAACGATGAGAAGTAAGCCTGATATCGTGCGACATGCGACCACGAATGATTTGTTGTAGTTTTCACCTGAGGAAGAAATGGAGAGTAAATTTAGTACACTAATTATTGTCAAAGGAAAATTATATTAACAAAAGAAAACTTCCAGCAGAGTGAGCCCCAAAACCCCCTGCCCGGGGTTTTGGGGCTCACTAACTCAGTGAAAAACAACGAAAGATTTGCTTAACACCGGTTTTCTGGGAGGATTATGTCTTTTTATGTGTTTCTAACTTGGGAAATGATGAACTTCCAAACAACCGTTCATACCTAATTTTTTACCCCTTTAACTGTAAAATTTCCAAAAATCCTTTCTTAGTGAGTGCTTACATCATATAAAGACTTAAAATATATATTTTACTACTTACCAGTAAAGACTAAGAAAGCTAGTGGAACTCCAACAGCCGCACCCAGTATATGAGCAGACCAAGCAACGTATTCCTGAGTCGTGGCTGCAGGAGCCGCAGCTTGGACCTCTTCCATAGGTGCCTCCCGTATAAGCGCCCAGCATAGCTCAGAGGTGCCCAGCACGACAACACTTAGAGGTCGAAACCACCAGAGGGGGACGTGTCCGTATCTGTAAAGAAACAATTTCTTTAGTACCTAATTAGATTATTGCACACAGATCAAAGACCCAAGATATATGGTACCTACACCACAGGCCTTCTTTTTAATATAATATTACGTTATCAATGTGGTTTTGAAACTACTAAAAGAATCCCCAGAATTATTTTAAAAAATTATCAAGCTCCAAGCCGATCACCGAACACAAGGTTTAATATAATTTTTCTTTTGTCGATCCCTGGAGCATAGGATATTTATTTATTTAATGTTATATATTATGTATAAATGAATTTTCTATTTACCTAAAGCAAACATTTGCTAAATGCGAAGTAAGAAGAGCATAAACCGCTGCGGATGCGCCGACGACACGTACGTTTGGTTGCATTATACCCGCACCGAGTGCGCCGGCCACTAGGCCACCGCACCACACGAAAAGCACCCGCCACCATCTCTGCTCACTTTCTAAAGGCCAACCAACCTATGAAAAGAAAATGAAATTAAATTTCATACATAAAAAAGAAAACAAAGTATAAAGATACGAACGTAATTACTACTTACAGCTAAAGCAACGATTGCATTCAGAGTTAGATGTGGTACATTGGCGTGGACAAGCCCATAGGTGAATACTCTCCATGGCTCCTGCAACCATGCCGCTGGGGACCACTCTAGCGTAGATCGAACACGCTCAGTGTCACATACATGCACAACTACCTGAAAGAATAATTAAACATTTGAATTAGAATGAAATATATTTTTTGCAAATGAATGAATCGGAATTAAATACGAATCATCGATACGACGATATTTTAAAAGGGATTTTAAATATTAATGTTATGGCAACACGTGAGATACTTACTATTAAAACAATCACAAATAAAATAAAGTACGGCGGTTTCAGTGAGGTTATAAGCTTTTGTTTTCTTTTCTCGAATTTAGATATTGCCTTTTTCTTCTCTTGAACTTGTGGACACTTAATGTATTTGCCCGAAGGATGGACTCCTAGAGTCAGACCTGCTTGAAGACGAGATTTATGTTTAGGCGGTGGTTGACTAGGCAAAAGTCTTCTGTTCTCTCCTGGACTGTTAGTATTATCACTCTGCTTATCATCCTCGTTTTCCGTCCAGGCTACAGCTGGTTTAGGTTCACCTGGCAGGATCCTCCTACCATGATGCACAGGAACTTCCTCTACGTTCAATCTAACTGATTCGCAATCTTTTGCATCCGGAGCCATTGTGACTAGTTATCATCATATTTATTTAAAACATGGTCAGTCCCGCTCCACGATGTGTCTCGCTCCCTGTGTACACCAAAAATACAAGATTAATACCGTGCTCGCAAATTTATAGTTATTTAGAAGGAAAATGTTATACAGTTAACTAATTAGGAATTCCAGGACAATGGGACATATAACAATAATGTTTTATTAAATAGATGAGATGATTTTGTAAAAAATAGAACAAGGTAATATAATATTAATTGCCTGATATTTGTGAGAAGAGAATTAACATCTCATTTATGTTTCTATTCTACTCGCTATGCAACTCCACTCGCGGGTGCTTGCTTATTTTTATTTAATTTATAATATTTTTAGTTATACCTTAAATTTTAAAACATGTTTATAAAAGGTAAAAAAAGACTTTATAAGTCCTATTGAGAAAAATAGTTAGTAAAGAAAGCAGTCAAGGCTGAGGTCTTTTTGTTTTAAAACCTTATTTGTTGAGACCATTAATAAAGTATTATTTTCATAATTTAGCTTAATTTTAACATAGATATTTGAAATACCAAAAATATTAATTTAAACCATCGAATACTCCTTGATAAAAAGCCTTCCGCATCGTTCCCGAAATTAGCCGCACATCTCCGATATACACATAACTTAAATAACACGTAATAATTCTTAAATACCTAGAATACATCCATCTTGAAATCGTGCGGCAAATTGACCGTATTTAATACGAATATGCTAGCTTTAAGCGCTAAAGATACAGGCGGACATTAATAAGGGAATCCCTCGCAATAAAGATATAAACATTACCAATAAATATTAATTGTTCGTATTATCCTGAACAGGTAATTAATAACTCAATTCCTTGTCTATTAGTACTAATATTGTCTTGTATTTGATAATTAAATAGGTATTTTATTGTAACGGGAAATATAATTTTATTATGCAATTTGATATGAGTACGTCAAGAGTATATCTATATCAATAATAGGTTATAAAATAAAGTTATTTTAAATACATTCCCTAATCTTTCAGTATCGCGTTATTTTTTAAAAATAGTGTAGTGTTAAAAACTATGTACAACAGAAGACATCTGTATAGAATTTGTTATCCTTCAACTTTTAGTAATCAATTATTGTCGGTAATAATCGGCTTTATTTAAAAAAAATCATTAAATTAATAAAAAGGTAATTCAAATTAAACATACTCATGCCATTATATGTTAAGCATGTTTTTATTGTAAGAGGTGACTAGAACTGCTGGGGTTTTCGGGAATTTCCCTGCTAAAGAGTGTCTTGCAATAGACCCATTTATATCAGAACATTATTTTTTTTTAAAAGACATCTCCCGCACTAGGAATAAATCCTGTGTCGCGGGGGACTTTACAAGCATATGTACCTACATGAAACGGATACACAGAACACCAAGAACAACAAATACTTTATATATAAAAAATCTATAAGATTAACATAAAATCATAATCCCAATCAATTCAAACTGAATACGATTCTTCCTTATATAAAAATCTGTTCTAACATAACTTTGAACGATAAAAGCTGACAAGATAAAAAACATTGTTTTATTATGTATTAGTACTGTACCTCAGCAAACACCATGTTGAAAATAAACCACCACTTCACTTTTATTTTTGTTCCTATCATATTTTTAATTTAACAACAAAAATAATGTAACCGTATTCATTAAACTCCAAATAACGTGTTCACCACTAACACCACTTACTTATTATGGTGTAGAATGAAATGCAGATAAACATTATAAACATACGATTTTTTAACAGACGATGACAAATTAGTGACGTACGCGGTCTAGTATGACGTTATATAAAATGTAGATAACTTCAAAACACATTTACAAAACAGGAATACCACGAACTTGACCCAAAAAGGATTTACGCAATGAACCACAAATTCATCATTAATATGTTCACTTGGAATTCCTTGTTTAATATAATATGGATTTCTATTGAAATACAGTAACAGTTATCAATTAATTATAACCAGGTAAGCATTACTTGGTATTAATAAGTATTACAATATATATTTTTAGAGACGAAATGTAACATGGAAACAGTGTAATCGAAGTAAGTGACCTGATAGAATAAAAGAAATTCTTTATCAGAATTCTAAAAGTTATAAATCTTCAAATGTAGTAAAAATTGAAACCTACTTTTGTTAAAGTACAAAACGTATTTTTTTTCAAAATTTTGTGAGATGGACATAAGTAGTATGTTACTTGGACGACTATTATAAAATACCTTTTCCGAGCCGCTAGAGTACTTCGGTATTTCTAATATACACATTGCCAGACACACATAAATGTCAAACCTCGACGAGACAAATGAGGTTGTCTACTCAATAACCAGGACCTCATTACTTGTTTGGAGGGTTGTATTAATATAATTGCTTACATACATAAGCTTACACGTCTCTACCTTCAGGAAAGGTAGAGTCAGCAGCCCACTACTTGCTTCTATCTTAATATTATACCCCACGACTGTACTGCTACTACTCTTAACCTTTCACGGACCTGTTGGTTTAGAGAGTGATCCTGACATGCTAAGTCAGAGGTAGTGGGTTCGAAGCCCACTTTTTTTATTTGATTACAAATCATTGAGTAATATGCACGATCATTTATTCTGTATAATATGCACCTAAGTATTTAGGAATATTAATAATAATATGGGATTATACAATAGTTTGGGATTATATATTACGCGCCGGTTTCGGCTAAATTATCTTTTTGTTCTGATGGCAACGCAGGTCATCCCACGCGTGACCGCAGCCTCTGTAATCTGGTGGACTCTGCGTTCTAAATAAACTAGTCACAAAAAATATTAAATATAATAATTTACTAAAATTCAGTATTCGGGAAATAACCTTTTGAGTTTGTTTAAAGGTGGTAAGGAAGTTTAAAGCGTTCACTAAACGTACAAAGAATTTATTGGTCAATTTTGTGCCTTCTTTATAAACATGTTAATTTTTTAATATAATTTTGAAAAATATTAAAACAACATAATGAGTCAGTTTTACCACTTAAGTAGTAAAACCTTGAAATGTGTGTGTGTGTTATGAAGAGCTCAATGATTTTCTGTAGTTTTCATTAAAGATCATCTCCGTACTGGAGGATGTCTTTCGTTTTCACATGAATTCCAATTATTTAAAATATTATTTTCAGCGACATTCTCTATTCTAATTTTATTTACTGGCGAGGAAGTAATTCCCCAACCTATAACGATCGCACGGTCGTGAGATACTGGGTTTGATCCTCCGGTTGTTTTTTAGATTGTAACATTTTATTTATAAATATTTTGTCGCTATGGATATTAAAGGCATCGGCCGATACAAATAAGTTGTAACCTCGAAATGATAACAGCAGTAATTGGCAGAAACTTTATCAAATGAGCAGTTTTTTGTTATGTTTCATAGCAAGTCAAACATCTGCATAACTAATCCGATTTATCTTATTGTATTCAGAATTTATTGTCCATACAACAATGACTTAGCCGGATCAATTACTGTATCCGGCGATTATTGTGTTTTATATATTTTTTAAATATACATAATATATACACCGCACACTTTAAATATTTAAGATCTATCGTTAGTGTGATTTTGGATTCGTAAATAGCCGCAATGTATCTGAGCTTTTTAAATCGGAAGATTAAATATATAAAATCGCAATAATGAACATGCACATGGCGAACAGTTCATACCATATAATAAGCCTTTAAAATAACATTTGGAAGAGTCCTTTTAAATCCGATTACGCTAAATATCGGTACTGCGATATAACAGAATAGCTCGGTCAATAGAACTGGTATGCAGGTAACAAGTTCGTATGTTACAAAAACGTCACATTTAGAGTACAAAGCTGCAAAATGACAATACCGCAATAGGGAAAAATGGCGGTTGGGTTTGTTTATAATGTAATATAACGTGGCGAATACATTAGACCTTTTCCTTCCGATTTCAATTAACCAAATGAAAACAAACAATGTCAATTCTGTAGGGTCCTTAGTAAAAGGGTAAGAAAAAAGGCTGTTTGTGATTGGAATGTCTAATAGGAGAGGTTCATGAACTAGCTATCAAATCCATCGAATTAGTTTCAAATAAAGACCTAACCTTATTGTCTTTCGTTAAAGAGTTACATACAATTTGTTTAGCATGAATGAAAGTTATTTATGTTAAACCAAGTGTTTGACATACTTAGACTTAAATTTGGCAACACTAACAATAGTATACCTATGTAATAGTCTGCTAACGGGACTATTAATAAATGCATAATTGGTCACATTTAGCTTTTGTTATGAATAACAAATAGAAGCGATCCTGGACTGCGAATTAAACGCATATAGCACGGTATGCACCAAAATGGCTGTCTACAACATGACAGTGAATGCATATTCAAGAGGTCTATGCTCTCTCTTTTGTGTATAATTTTGACATTGATATATTTTATATGAAGTTGAATACGTGAGCGTAAAGCTAGAGATGAATTCTGTTGATGATGGAATCTGAATCAGAATGCAGCTCTTATTGTATCTTCTGATATTCTCGACTACCTTCATTATATAAACATGTGTTGGACTATTGAGGAGATACGTGGCTGATTAATTAACCAGTGAATGATATAACAATCATTCGTCGTTCAATTGTAGTGAAAGAGGCTAATTGAAAAATTAATCGTGTATTAATTGTTTACTTAAATAATCATTTCTATCATAAATAAATTTCCATTATCTATACAAATAGATAAAATTTAAGTGTCTGTTTGTAATGTCAAAATTATAGGTTTTTTTGATGCTTACACGGTTATTTATTAGTACGATAACTATGCCTAAAAACCAGTTTAATTTTTTTGTCTGTCTGTCTGTCTGTTTGTTCCGGGTAATCTTCAAAACGGCTGGACCAATTTTGATATTATTTTACTAATAAGTAGCTGTCTATATAAGGAGTAACTGAGGCTATTTTTTCTCTCAGAAAATG